CATAATGTTAATTATAATTAATTAATAATTTGAACAATCTCGACCATGCTTAATTTAATATAATTTCATTTCAAAAAATGCATTTTATCTTAAAACTATATCTTTATTTGTTAGAAAACTATTCATCTAAAAATTCAGACTATTAAAATAAACTCTAAAATATAATTTATACTATTTTTTAACAAATTTTCTCAAATTAAAACATTTTTAATTGAAACCTACACAATTACACATTGAAATTTATTTATCGGCAATTTCTTGGTAGGTGACTTAAAGTTTCCATGATAAAAAGAAAAGCGAAGGAAATTGAGAAAGTTTCTTGCAAATTATTAGCAAAGCAATAATTGTCAAAGAGCAAGCAATAATTGTTAAAGAATAAATTATTGAGCTGGAATTTAGAGTGGTAATTTTGTGGTGGCTGCTGAGGGAGCATGGATGTGTTTTACAGTTTAGTCAAATCATATTTTAAAAAAATTTAATATTTTTTATTTTTTTAAAATTATTTTTTATTATTCTAATATACTAATATCAAAATTGTTTTTAAAAAAATATTATTTTAATATATTTAAAAAAAACTTTCAAATAGAATAATAATTACACTTACAAATAGTTGTATATATCTTGCTTTATAACATCTAGGATTTTTGTTAATACTGAAGCAGTGTAAAACATTGAAGAGTAATAAAGTAGAGAATTTGATAGAATGTTTCTACTCAATTTGTTTTTTTTTTTATTCATGGGATTTTGAGTAGTAATTCCACAGTGGTTGCTGATTGAGTATAATTCTTGCTGTTATCTAACAATTGACTTGAGGACTAAAGCAGTGTAAAACATTGAAGACATGAGTATCATGAAGTGGCATAAAGTTTCGTACATGAAGAGGTTATAAAAAAAAATGAACAAAGGAGCTTAGAAAATAATCAAAATTTTCAAGTAAAATAGTTAAAACGATGTTATATAGTATGGTGGTGTTTTTTTTTTATTAAAGTAATTTTTATTTAGAAATATATTAAAATAATATATATTTTTTAAAAAAATTATTTTTAATATTAATATATCAAAAAAATAAAATAAAAACATAAAAAATTTAATGAAAAGTAGGTTGCATCACAACAAATAAGATCTAAAAATCATTTAAAAAATATAAAGTGTACTATTAGAATAAAGTTTGTTTATGCTATTTATGTTTAGCAAATAGGTGAATCAAGATAGAAAAATACTCAAATCATATTCATATTCAAGGAAATATCTCTATTTTCTTGTTATTTTTGAATTATTTTCTTGATTTTACTAGTTATTTTTTTATTTATTTTAATATATTCATTTAGCTTTTATATAAATAGTTAATGTTTTATTTTTGAAAAAAAATTTAAAAATAATTGATTTTTTTCTTACAATTTAAAATTATAATCTTAAATATTGAAAAACTCTAATTCTCTAACTTTCTTGAAAATACTTTATAAAAAATTATGTACAGTACAAAACACCATGAAATTACCTTTGTAAATTACTAGAATTGTTTAGTCAACCTTTATTCGGAAATCAAAAAAAGTCAGGGACCCCAACAGTCCCTACATTAACAATTCATTCAAAAGAGTTGTACAATATAAAAAATTATATATTAAAACTAGTATTATGTAATTCTAACACTATATTTTGAATAATTTTAAGGAAAAATTATAATGTAATTGTAATTAAGTTTTCAGACATCTTAAAAAGAAATTCTATATCTCTTTCTTGTTTTCTAATTTCACTCATCTTTTATATTTATTAAGAATATTTTTTTATTTCTTTCTGCATTTTATTTTTTATTTAGAATATTTTAATTTATTCTATTCTTTCACTAGATATATCAAAATAGAATCTGGTACCATTTATTCGACCTAATTATTTTTTTTATAATAAAATAATTTTTTTTATTTAAATAATTAAAAATTCAATTGAAAAATCTAGTTAATAGTGAGTGGTTCATACTTTACATTACATGTCCGTTTTAATAAATTCAAATGATATACAGTGCATCCATTTAAATTTGTTATGCTATGTTTTATGTTTAATGGTAAGGAATGTTTTTTTTACATTGGTTTTTTTTTTTTTGCTGGTTTTGGCATGTAGACTTGGTTCATATGATAAATTAAGATTTTAATATAAATATTTTTTAGGTTAATAAATATTTTTTTTATTTTTTTTAGTTTATAAATTATTTATTTCTATTCAATATTATTAAAATTTTATATTTATTTCTACTTGAAAAGAATAATTTTTTATTTTATTTTATTTTTTATTCAATATTATCAGGTTTTCTAGTTTTTATATTTAAAAAATAATAATTTTTCTATTTACTTGTTTTTATTTTAAAAGTAATAGTTTTTCAATTCAGAGAAAGAATTCTCTCTTGCAAATTATTAGCAATACAATAATTATATTTAACCTAACACGGTTACCATCAAAGGAAGCATCGGCATTTATATCATGAACTAGGATTTTTGTCTTGTCTTTGGTGGTGTCCACCACATTGTCCTATATACAAATATATAATTCGTAGCAGTGTTGGTTTTTATGGTTTAAAATGTTTGTTAATTTTTTTTTAAATATTGAATTAATTTTTTATGTTTTTTTATAATTTAAATGTATTAAAATAAATATTAAAAAAACATATTTTTAATTAAAAAGTAGAGCATTAATGAAACGCAATTAGTTAGCACTTTACAGGTAATTAGAGTTGAGTTTTTTCAGTGAAAAACAAATATTTTCTAAATTAATACAACTAAAAAATAATCCTTAAATTAACACAATTATATAATATACACAAATACTACCAAATTTCATTTTTCTTCCTGAAGAGGGCAAATCCTTTGCAAAGTTTCCACAACAACACAAAAAAGAAAAAATCAAACAGAGATTTTGCTTCATCTCCATTATTATTTTTTCCCGAACCGTTCTTCTCTCTGTGATATTACTGGAATAATTTATTAAAACAGTGTAAAGCATTAAAAACATGGGTGTTATGAAGTGACATAAAGTTCTGTGTTTGTTATCGGAGTATGTCAATAATTAATGATATATGTCATAATTTAAGTTTTTACTCTTTATTTTTATTAAAAAAAATTTTATTAAATTTTTTTATAATTATCAAACATAACTTGAAATTAATCCAGTCAAGAAACCGAGGCCTGGGTTGCCCAAGTTAACCTGAAAATGTTTTTGGTGCATTTAGCATAGTTCCAAATGAAGAAAACCTAAAACCAAACGATGCTTTTTCACATTGATTGAAATGGTGTGTTTTGCTTGGAAAAGAAAGAAAGAAATTTTGAAATCGAAAGAAAAACGAAATCTACAGAAATCTGGGTTTCCTTAAACGTATATGGAAGGTTGCCACTTTTTTCCCTCTTTTCGACCCAATCCTAGCTACCAATTGATCCTCCTAGTAAACAAAAAAAATCTTGAACGTACGGTCCAAGATCTTGTATAAGAAATCACATTTTCTATCCTGATTCTCTCCCCATGGATCGAGCAAAAAAGGATTGGTGGCCAGCATTTAAACCAGTTTCCAGTCCAGCTTAGAAAGGGCAATCTTCAAGGATTCGGTTTCCATGAAATTGGTGATTGTTTTCTTTTATAAAATGATTGACATTCTACTATAAAAGAGGACCTTCAAACACACAACGAAGAGGAGGAGAGGGCAAGAGGCCACAATAACATAAAAGAGACTTTGCGAAATCTAAACAAATTTTGGCCACTTTACTAGATTGGAAAATCCTTATAAATATGAAGTGATCATGCTGATATGGAGTGGCAATGTTTTCTCTTTAGGAAAGGGAAAAAAACTAAATGAAAATAAACTTGGCTGATCTATCAAAAAAACAAAAAGGCTATGCCAGTAGAATGGAAGTCACCTCTGGTTATTCAATTGCATCCATTCTCTCTGATCTCACAATAGTTCTGCCGCCATTACTTAATCTAGAGTGATAAATGGAGAAAATTTACCAAACTGAAAAGAACCAAATGCACTTCAATTAAGCAGCAAAAAATGATTAATTCACATTACTTATCCTTGTATAGAACAGGGTAAATCCGTGTGACACAAACTAACACCCGAGGGACAGGACCGCCATTACTCTTGATGCACCTAAAAGCCAAAGGAGCACCAATTCCCTTACCTATGGAAAAATATTCAAATAGTTATGCATAAGAAGGCATACAAGTCATTCAAAGCGTAATATTCAGCTGTGGTTGAGTGATCATTGTCATCATTATCACATTTATTATTTGTTTCGTTACTTGGAATTTTGGTGATTGGTGAGTGAGCTATCTGGAATGAACAGCATACAAGTCCTTACAAGTGGATCCCACGTCTATCTCAGCTGTTGATCCCAAGTTATACTCGAAAAGATTCCGAGATTTCATACATAGAATCTTTATAGAGGACAAGTAATGGATGGAAGGAAAGAATGGAAATTTATACATAATTTTTAACACGCGGAGATTAAACTCCTGGCCACATCCCAAAAGAAAGATTTATTGGTGATGTATACTGTGAAGGAAGGCACGTTGATTGCTGATGCATTGGCTGTGTTAAGGTGTTCAATGTTTATGGCTAAATTTTTGAGATTGGCCATTATGTGATGTGTTAACTATGGAGAAGGTCTCAAGGGGTTTGTTGAGTAATGTGTTTTCTTTATTTTTTTGCAAGCCAAGAGCATAGAAAGTAGAGAAATGGTTGCAAAACTGGAGAGGGATTGGAAAATAACAAAGTGTACAGTCCAAAGTAAATACTTCTACAGACAATATGGGATTGGGATTGAACAAAATTCTTTTTGATGGCATGCTATTCAAAATTTTGAAAAAGATGGTTTGCCCCAGTGAGCGAGATAAAAGAAGAAAATATTCAAAGGACTACCTTGGCCTCTCTCTTTCGCATTCTCATACTTGTTGAAAATCAAATGGGGTGTTTGCTTTTTCGTTGAGTAAGCCATGTAAAGAAGGGAAGGGGAACAAGAAAGATGGGGATGTTTCCTTTTGCTCCTGCTCTTTATTTAACTCTCTATATTGGAAGTTTGAAAAACTTTAGGACAATAATACACTTTCACACTTGGAATGTCCTTTTGCGTTCCTTTGAACAATGCCAAGAAGATAAACAGTACGGCAAAGCGACAGGATGGTGATGATCCTGATGGCTTGCTGCTGCTTTTGCTTCTCACCAATTGTCATGCCAAAAACTTAGTGCTATCTTTCACATCAACAAATCTTAGTTACCTAACAAATAATAATTCAATAAGACCCTTTTGATCCAAAGAAAAAAAAAATAGAAATGAAATCACTCATCACATTAAGATTATTGAGATTGTGTTTTCAAGATACAAATGGCCTTGAAATTTCAATTTGCTGAGAGTCGAGCATATGAAATGTAGTTGATGCAGTCTTTAAAGTTGTATTTCATTTAATTAGACCTTTAATTCTTAATTTAGTGTTATATATATATAAAAAAAACAAGAAGGCACATTCAAATTATTTTTTTGCATATCAATTCTTAGCTATTTATTGTTTTGTTTTTGGTTTTTATATATCAAAATTAAGTTTTTTACCGACCAATTCTTAGCAAAATCATCCATATGTAAATGAATGCATTCACAAGACATTAAAATCTCCCATCAATCATTCATATTAAATACATGAAAAAACTTCTTTTTTAAACATCTATTTGAACTCAAAATCAATATAATTATATGTCATAGGATAAACTCAATTGTCAATTTCAATCAACACATTAAATCATAGATGAATATAAAAACATAAGAATTAAATACTATATTCTTAGACCACTAATTATTTTCTAAATTAGATTATTTTCATAGGGTTTCTTATAACATAAAAAAAAAAGAGGCTAAAAAGTAATAAAAACTATGCAATAATACATAGCAAAATCTTATAACATAAACTAACAAAACTTTATTTATTAAACTAATTAAGGATGCTTTGAGAACTTTTCTATATATAAGTAATTTTCATCAATTATCTTAAATCATAACATTACACGATGAAGAATCCACTCAAATATTATATCTTAACTAATAATTTCTTTCTAGAAAACCAATTTATTTCTAACTAAGATCAAGAATTTTCATCTTTTGAAGAATATATCAAAGAAGTGAGGAAAAAAATGAAACCATATTCATCAAAAATATAAATTACATCATGGATAATAACAACTAGGTTATTCAATCTTAAAACAGATGGAAAAGATTTCAAAGAGCATTCAATAAAACTTCCAAACTTGGAAAATGATCTTCAAGCCAACAACTACATATTAATACATCAGATAAAAGTACCGTACTAATTTGGAGTAACTTCAAGCATCTTTATATAAAATTATCTTGTGCTATCTCATCCATCCAGGTCCTTAATATCTATAAAACCATCAAATTCAGTAGAACTTCCAAGTTTGGAAATAAAGTTAACTGTGCATGATTATATATGCATTTTGTTATTACAAACAAATCCCCTTCACTTTTAATTAAGACACTTAGTTTATAATAAAAAAGGTTAATATCATATTGTTTTCATTTTTGTTTTAAAATATTGAATTTGAAATAAAATATAAAACATTATTCAATTTTTTTTAAATGTACAAAAACAAAAATCAGTTTTCACTATTTGCTAAATAAACTAAAGTGATTTTAATAAAATATGTTAGTGATTGTTGGCTTTTTGTTTTTCAAAAAATAATTATTAAAGATATAATTTATTTTTTGAGTGATATTGGATAGATCTAATTGTTAAAGATAATATTTATTTTTTAAAATGAAATAAGAAAAATATTATCATAAAATCAAGAAATAAAAAATAATTAATTTTTTATATTAAATAATAATAATAATATTAGTTAAATATTTAATAAAAATATTGTTAAAGATAATATTTCATCTCTTAAATTAAATAGAATAAAATAGAAATAACTGAAGAAAATATGTATTCTTACCAAAAAGCCTTAAATATTTAATAATGTTTTTTATTAAAGATGATATTTAATTTCTTAGATTATAGAATAATAATGAAATGATTAAAGATAATATTTAATCTCATAAATTAAATATAATAGAATAAAAATAACTAAACGAAATATTTGTTCTTACCTTGACGTGCTAAACTGAGGCTTTGTTCTTGCAGTTTCGAAAATAAATAGTCACTCCATTGCTTAGGTGTAGACGCTATGATTGGACCACAATGAGGATGAGGAAACAGATGATATGACGGTGGTGAAGGCATCACTTTATCTATTCCCACCGCCGCCTCTTCAGATGAATCTAACTTCCCTGTGATCACATGGACCCCACATTCTTTAACGTGTACGGGTTCGAATGGATGATCGTACAACACAGAAGAAATGTATAGTTCCAAGTCGTCATCTCCACAGTAATCTTCCATTGCCATTTCACTTCTACTTATGTATCTTATCCATTCCCTACGAGATACACATCGTCCATCTTCAAACAATTGAATACCATTGCTTTTATTTCTTATAATAATATTAATAATCATGTGAACATCCTTCTCAAGTGGTCGATAGACAACCCAAAGAACTAAGCCTTGGAAGACTGGAGGTATATGGAATGACAATGAGCATCCTTCTCCCCTGTAGCTCATCCAATTTGGCATCTCACCAGGAATGGGGGAAATAAAATACCGGTGACGGCCGTTGCACATTTCCTGTATAAATATATTATAAATCAAGAAATAAAAAATAAAACCAATGAGACTTTAAATATTTAACCAAAAATATTATTAAAGATAATATTTAATTTTTTAGATTCAATAAGAAAAAAAATATTATTAAAGATGATATTTATTTTTTAAAATAAAATAATAATTATTATTATTATTTTGCCTGTATACATATTGAATACATATTGATTTCAAGAAATACTGGGATTTTAGACATTAATCAATGTATGTGCCAATTGTGTGTTTCTTCTTGTGCAAGAGAGACTGAAAGAAATAGTACCTCAACAACACTCTTCTGTAACTTATTTGGTGAATGCCTATGGTCATCAACATGAATATACCAGAAACTATTACTTAGACCATCAATGCCCTGAATCTCTTCTAACGAATGACTTTCATTTAGATTTATATGTAGCTTTTCTTTTGACTCGATTGGTATTCTTACTCTTTCCAATGATTTGCAACGATATGCAACCAAAGTGTCTAAACTTGAGGGAAGATCTGGGATTGATACAAGATTGTCGCATAAATGGACTCTCAAGATCTCTAGCTTGGGAAGGAAGCCGATCCCAGAAGGCAGGCTGGAGAATTTGTTTCCTGATAGATCCAATACTTCTAGAGAGGACAAACCACTGAAATCAACACACTTAGCTGCGCGATCAGACAAACCACCATTAGAAAGCTCAAGACATTTCACTGATATCCATTCAATGAGTGTTGGCAGCCAACGTTTCCAATTCGAAACACCTCCTGAAATCAAAGAAGAACCTGGTGGAGCCGAACTGTATCCACCCAATGATAACCTTCTGACATGCTTTAATTGTCCAATTGAAGAGAGAAATTGATCATTTTCAATCCCATCAGCTAGCAGCTCGGTTAAGGATTCGATATCACCCATGCATTCTGGCAATTTCTCAAGTTGTGAACACCCAGAAATATTCAAACATTCAAGAGACTTTACATTACCAATGCTTTCAGGGAGAGTCTTCAGACTCCAACATCCCTCCAGATTCAAGAAAACGAGGCTCGTCAAATTTCCAATTGATTGATGCACCTCAACTAAACTCGAGCAACCTTTCAGAATTAGTTTCTCTAGACTTGAACTGTGCAAGTTTGGTGTTTTAATAAGGTCCTGAGAATGACTGAGATTAAGGGTTTTTAACCTGCTGAGAATCTGTTATAATAGAGCGCAAAATAATTAAAATTAATCATAAGAAGTCGTAACATGTAAATATAAATTACATTCTGGAGAAATTTTAGGGATTGCAGCATGTTTCTAACCTTTTTTCCCTTCCATAGTTCTTTAAGGTTACTGTACTGCATGTCAAGAACAACAAGATTGTCCAAGGTAAAATCTGATGGAAAATATTTCAAAGGACATTCATGCCAACAAATCCACATCAACTCTTTAGAAAGCAGTTCGAAGGATCCGGTGAGATGTGCTCCGTTGATTTGGAGTAAATTTAAGCATTTCATATTTGCAAATGATCCTGTGCTCAGTGATTTAGCTTCTGATGCTCTGACATCCAGTTTAAGACCCTCTACAACTTCCGTACCCTAAAAAAATAAAATCAATACAACTTTCATACAATTATTCGTAATAAGTTTGACTAGAAAATACGCATGACTATGCTTTCATGTATGCATTGAGCTCTTACCTTCTGCTGCTCAAGCACATTCCATGCATCCTCTTGATTCCAAATTCTGGTCCTCTTTCCAGGTTCTTTTGGAGACGATTCACGAACGATCTCCCTTCCCATGTCTCGTAATAGATCATGCATGGTTACCGTCTCTCCCAATACTTTAATCAGAGACCTTTCGTGGAGAGTTTCCAAATCAACTTCTGGATTGTAACCGCAACGGGCTCCTAGCACTTTTGCGACATACTCCTTCTTTCTATCAATAAAGAAGCAAGCGATATCAAGGAATGCATTTCGTAGTTCTTCACCGTCCAGTGCGTCAAAACTTATCATAAGCTTTCCTTGAATATCGTGGTTTGGAATTCTTCTCAGCTTGTCAATTACAGATTTCCAACCGTCTCTGTTTTTCCCGGACAGACAAGCACCCATAACCTGAAGAGCCAAAGGAAGTCCCCCACAGTAATCAACTACATCCTTCGAAAGATCAATATAATCTTCTGTTGGCTTGGTGTCCTTAAAGGCATGCCAGCTGAAAAGCTGAAGGGCCTCATCTGGTTCCAGTTCTTTGATCTGATATCTTTGATCTGCTTCACGAAGTAAACTTGAATCTCTTGTTGTGATAATTACTCTACTTCCAGGACCAAACCAACTTCGATCTCCCATCAAAGCTTTTCGCTGGTCCAGATGAGCCACATCATCAGCAACAAGAAGAACTCTTTTGCGACGAAGTCGCTCTTTGACCAGAACCTTTCCTCTATCGACACAATTGATGTTAGCAACATCTTGTTTTAAAATATCATGAAGAAGTTGCTTTTGTAAAAGAGCCAGACCATTGAATTGTTTTGATCTTTCATTTATATCCGAGAGAAAACAGCTTCCCTCGAATCCATCGCAGAGTTGATTAAATACAACTTGTGCTATAGTCGTCTTTCCTATTCCTGGCATCCCATGTATGCCCACAATGCGTACATCATCTGTTGCAGTACTTAGAAAGTAAAAAATATTGCGAGAAAGCCGATCCATACCTACTAGGTGCTCAGGAACATACAAGTACTTGGGATCTAATTTATTCAACACTTCCTTGATAATCTCTTTGATAAATTTTGCTTCATGCCTGCTCGTAGACAAAAGCAAGTCATTAATAGCGAGTCAATTAAGTATTTTATTGTTTCACATTGAAAAATGTAAAGTATAATGACTCCATAAATGCGTGCAAGTGAATCTTGGAGGAAAAAAGGCATACCCATCTGCCATATGATTGAGATTCCATCCAGATAGATTTCCAGCCTCCTCAAGAGCTTTTCTCCACTCCTTCACCAACTTCTCTTCAAAATGCTCTTCATGTTTAACAAATGCTTCTGCAAAACTGCCATTCTGTTTCCTCACATATGAAGGATCAATGTCATAGAATATAGGAAGAACAATCTGACCGGGTTTCCTATTTTTGCACTTAAGAATCTCTACAAGTTCATTGAGACACCATCTAGAAGAAGCATATCCTTTTGAGAAGACAACTATGGATATCTTTGATTCTTGAATTGCCCTGAGGAGATGCTCGGAGATTTCTTCTCCTCTAGGAAGTTCATCATCATCTCGAAAAGTGTGGATTCCTGCTTGATCTAAGGCAGCATATAGATGATCAGTAAATGTCTTGCGAGTGTCTTCTCCTCTAAAACTCAAGAAGACATCATAGGCCCCTTCTGGTCTAGATCGAGAAGACTCTGGCTCTGTCATGGCAGCTGCAGAAATCAAGGCACAATCAATTACCAATGGAGCAACATAACAAAGAGTTAGCTATGAAATTCCAAAGCTATGATATTGAAATGAGGTTAATTGTATTCTTTATATAGACAACATAACAGTCCCTCTATTAACAATTCATTCAAAAGAGTTATAAAATATTTTTATTATTTGGTTCAAAGAGATTCTTTAACAATATAAATAATTACTTATTAAAACCTAGCATTATCGAATTCTAATATTATATTTTAAATTATTTTAAAGAAAAAATTATAATGTAATTGTAATTAAGTTCTTAGAAATATATTACTTATATTTTCATATTCTTTTTTATATTTATTAAAAACATTTTTTTTTCTTTTGGAGATTTTGATGTAAATTATAATGTAATCTCACTATATTTTTTTTTTTCAGATAAGTGAGGTTTTGATATAAGAACTTTTGGATTAATAAATGTTTTTATCAAATATTTTAAATTTTTTTATTTCTATTTAGTATTATTAAACTTTTATAATTTATCAACTTGAGAAGAATAATTTTTCTATTTTATTTTTTATTCATTATTATGAGGCTTTTCTAGTTGTTCTGTTTAAAAAATAATAATTTTTATATTTAGTTGTATTATTTTTTCTATTCGGAGAAAGAATTCTCTCTTGCAAATTATTTGCAATGCAATCATTTTTCTTCCTCCAGATCCTTTGCAAAGTTTCCACAACAACTGCAGAGTCCACGCGTTACTGCTACCAAAGTCCATTACTGTTCTCATCTTAATATTGAGCTGGAATTTGGAGTGGTAATTTCGTGGTGGTTGCAACAAGTAGGTCCCACGCGTTAACACTAATGCGTTCCGTTCGTGGCGGTTGCAAGAACTTCAGCTGGAGGATGTCCTCACTGACAGGGGCGGAACTAGGGGGTGGCAAGCAGGGGCCAGGGCCCCTGCAAAACATGTTAATTTTTTTTTTTAATATTTTTAATTTAAATAAATAAACTTTTTAATAATATATATATTATTATATTAATTTTGGCCTCCCCTGTAAAATGAACGTAGCTCCGCCACTGCTCACTGAGCGTCTGCCCCCTGTCTTGAACCGATCTTCTCTCTGTACTCCTACTGTAACCATCTATTAAAGCAGTGTAAAACTGTTATTTATTAACTTCGACAGTGTAAAACTTGGAAAATATGTAAAAGTTATTTTACTGTTGTCTTGATTCATATGTAATAGAGTTTTTGACAATAGTATTTTAAAATACAGGGTTTGTGTTAAAGATAAACCTAAATTGTTATTGGAGATAAGAAATTATTGTTAATTAAATTTCTATTTTATTTTTTATTTAATAATATTATCAGGCTTTTCTAGTTTTTTATTTAAAAAAAAATAATTTTTCTATTTAGTTGTTTCTATTTTTATATTAAAAAAACTGTAGTAATAGTATTTATTTGGAAATAGACTTTGATATTTTGATGATTTAATAAAGAGATTCCTATAAGAGATTATCTATAATGCTTCAAGCCTTTTTCAGATAAATAATATTATTTCTTCCAGATTATTAGCAATGCAATAATTATAATTATAAAAGATAAAAATGAAACACATGCAGGAAAAAAAGCAAGGAAATTTCTCAAGCGCGGTATTGGTAAATATTGAGCAGCAATCGATATTGAGCTGGAATTTGGAGTCGTAATTTCGAGGTAGTCGCTAATGGAGTATCTTTACCTGTACTTGATGTGTTGATGCCATGACAAAAGCAGAGGAAGACGATGGAGAGAGAAGCTGTAATTTCATTTTAATTCTGTAATCTTCATCGGAACAAATAATTAGTTATAATCTGTATTCAACCACTAATTATCTTGCTTCATGCATATACTCTTGAAAGTAATTCAGTCAATAATAGTTTTTCAATTCATGTTAATTCATGTTAAGTAGAAAGTGAAATTTCTAGTCAATGCAAGGCAGCAATAGTAGAATTCGTAAAATAATATACTGAAATCAAATCAACAAAGTCAGGGACCCAAAACAGTCCCTACGTTAACAATTCATCCAAAAAAGTTATACTCTTTAATATTATGATTTGGTTCAAGAGAGAGTCTTTAATTATTTATTAAAACCTAGCGTTGGATAATTCTAATACTATATTTTGAATAATTATAAGGAACAAATCAATAATTATTAAAACCTAGCAGTGTAAAACGTTGAAAGCAGGTGTGTCATTGAGTAACATAAAAGTTTTCTAAACAGTTGAAAAAGATATATGTTAAGAAAAAGAAGAAGAAAATGAACACTAATAAAGTAAAGAATTTGATAGAATTTTAATTTCTAGTCAAAATTGGAGTGAAATCTCCGGTCAATGCTGTATTATTTTTTGTCCTTATTTTGTTATTAATTTTAGTCCAAAGTTCTGATCGAAAAACCCAAAACTGTCCCTGGATTTACAATTCATATAAAAAATATTGATATTTAATTTAGAAAAAAATTATTATTAGCTTAAGTGGAAGTGATTAATAGCTGTAAGACTATGGATGCAACATGTTGTTGCTTAATTCGGTACACTCTTTACACCTATCCCCCGTGGGATGAATTGTGAGTTATGAAAGTGGGAGAAGCTATGAAATTGGGAGAAGCTGAATGGTAAAAGTGAGAAGGGATACGCTATCTTCTTCCAAATAATTAGTAATTAATGAAATATGAATCGGTCAACGAAATTATTTATATTCATGTACAGGAGAAGTAATGGTTCATTGAAAAGTGAAGAAACTTCCTCGTATTTTAGTTAACTTTAGTCCTTTCTTGTGTTATTATTTATTAACATTAATGTGAGGTATTTTGCCAACTACAAAAGAGTCCTTAACTCTATAATTTATACAAAACAGCTACAAAGTATTTTTTAATTTTTAAATATTAAAAATATTATTCCACTACTATTCTACTAACCATGAAAAATATATAAAAGTTATTTTATTACTAATATTTTAATTTGTTTGAGAATGTGCTTGAGATTATTTTTTAAAATATTTTTTGATTGAAAATATATTAAAATAATATTTTTTTAAAAATTATTTTTGATATCATAACAATTCAAAAATATTTTAAGAAGTGCAGTTCAACCACACTTTCAAATATATTCTAAGACTAGATTTAATATTGTCTTAACCTAAGATTGATTAACGAAGTCTTCTATCTTGTCAAGTTTTATATATGTTGATAGATATCATAATATGATTTATAAACTGTTATATATGTAATTCAATCTTGGCAAATAACTCCTATCGTAACCCTGGTTAAGTAATTTATTTACTTAGCTTGACAATCATGAAATTTTTATTTAAGTAACCAACAATTATTTATATGATCAATTGAATTATGGATTTGAGAGATGAACATTAATATGAATACTTATTACATCCAAAATAAACATCTTTAACTTGGCCATGAGCTTTTGTATCAAATTACTGCTAAGCTTTTATTGACTTGAACTAAATTATAAGCTTTCTAAAAAACAGGGACTAAGTAAGTGTAGCCAAAGATGCCCACGCTTAGCTTGAAAAGGAAGAACATGCAGGTGGAATAGCAACTAGTTGGCTGCCGACGCTTAGCTGTGGCAAGAATCGGTTTATGGGTGATCAGTCGGGTTAAAAAAAATTGATTTTTAATTCGATGTAGGAATATTTAAATATATATGATGCATGCGAGAACATGAAAATCGAAGTAGATAACAGCAAATGGAACCGTACGTGTTAATAGAACTTGCAAGGATGTATATGAAGAAAAATATAGTTTTGTGACCAAAACGAAAATAGGTAGAAGTTTGAAGGACCAAGAAAAAAAAATTAGCTGAAGCAGTGACACGAACAGTAAAGCGACAAATAATTATTCAATTAGCGTTCATGACAACCTCCCCTTAATAACCCAATAGAGATTTTAGTTGTACATTGTAAAAAATAATAATGTAAAAGCTGTTTCTTCAAAACCTTCCCCATGCTGCTACTGTCCTTCTCCACAGTTGCTTTTCTTCCCGATGTCTCCTTTTTTGCGCTGATGTTTTCCACAAAATCAAAGTGTCCTCCTTTTTTTGTTCTGCTGTCCCACGCTTTTCATAACCCCCTCCCCTGACCTCCTTCATAAATGTATTCTGGGGTAGCTACGCCGCCTACAATTGTGACCTCTCTATCCAAATAGGTCACGCCTCCTCTATATTCTTTATTTTCTCTGTTCTTTTTTTAACTTTTAAATTTATTTTTTTTATCCCCTGGACTTGAGGCAGCCCTTAGACCAAATTAATTCCTCAGCCATGTGCCACGTTCATTCTCTCCTTTAAAAGTACCATGATGCACTCTCCAATAAATCACTCTTTTCCACATGTGCTCTTTCCGATGCCAACACCTGACTTTCCGTTTCCATCCACGCTACTGTCCAGCTCCATTTCAGACTGAGAGAGGCTTCTTTTGGACTTCGGCTCTGATTAAAGTTGTAGCTCTGGATGCCTGAATGTGTAGATGAATTTCGGCTTTTCAATCGCTTAATTTGGACTTGAGATGCTCAAGTTATAGGCTTCTAAAGGTTCAGTGCTCAGGCAGAAAATTTACTCGAGATTTCCAGCCCTGACTTTGGACTCATGTTTGGTAGCCCAAACTAACTTGGATTTTTATGAACCTGACCTTGATGGAAAGCTTGAGATGTCAGCTCAATTTTTTCAGCAAATCACATTTTAAGTAGAAACTTTGAAACATTTCGTAATGCCATTCATTCAGCTACTTGTATCAAAAGATGAGAAACAAGTAAAGTGCATTAAAAATAAACTAAAAAAAGAGAATAACATACTAGATTAGGCTAGGAATATATGTGAAATTAAGCACCAAAAATATATATAACTTAAAAAATATTGAAGGAGACAAGAAAATATAAAATATGTTTTGGATTTAGAATGAATATGATACAGAAGAATATTCGCCGCGACGTTATACACTGACCAATCATCTTTTCATCTTCAATAATTTTTAGTTAC